TTCCCTCCTTTCACCTTTTTTTTCTTTTCTGGCCGCACTACATGGCATGTGGGATCTTAGTTTCCTGGCCAGGGATCGAACCCTCGCCCCCAGCGGTGGAAGCATGGAGTCTTAACTGCTGGACCACCAGGGAAGTCCCCCACCTTTCATCTTAAAGGGACGATGGTTCTGGAAGAGAGGAATGACAGCAGTGTGCAGTGTCTCGTGGCCAGAGCCTGGAGCTAGACCTTGGGCGTCAAGACCCCGGTCACAGGCTCACAGTCCCTCCTATTTACATTACCCATGCAATGTTTTTATCTAAAGCCGAAATAACTTGCCAACCTTTTAGAAGTGAGTGGCTATGTATGCAAATCTGGATTTCCAGTTTCTCTTGAAATTTATCAAAACCAGGAGAACGTAGAAATTATTAATGAACAGCTAAATCACTGGTGTCTACATAGTGTGTGCATCCACATCTGGGCTGCACAGGGGAGGGGGACGGTGGATGGAGACCCATGAGCCCAACACCCTAACACCTCGGCCTGAATAAAGAACATGCCTCCTACGTATTGGCGCTACTTATTTTCAAACGTGTTAGATGATGTCATGACTTGTAAGATAAAAATTCATTTAAGAGAACTTGCAGCAGGACCTTCCTGGTGATCCAGTGGTTAAAACTCTGTGCTCCCAATGCAGGGGGCCTGGGTTTGATCCCTGGTCGGGGAATTAGATCCCATATGCCACAACTAAGAGTTCGCATGCTGCAACTAAAGATCCCACATGCCTGCAACTAAAGATCCAGCATGCCGCAACTAAAAGATCCCACACGCAGCAACAAAGATCCTGCATGCTGCAACTAAGACCCGGCACAGCCAAATAAATAAATAAAAACATGAAAATAAAAATAAAGGAACCTGCAGCAAATTTCCAAACCTCCCTCCACTTATCCCTTGGCTGCACCCAACAGCTGCCCTCTGGACCTCACATCTCACTTCCCCAGGGGCTGCTTCTCTCCTCAGATCCCAGCTCCTGCTCCCCCAGCTGATGCTCTAACTACAGGGCACAAGTGAGTCCTGCTGAGCCTCTACCCTGATCGGCATGCAGGTATGGGGTGCCTCTCCTGGAGGACCTGCACGGACCCTCAAGCCCACAGCTCCCCCGCTGCCTCCTCGTCCTCACCTCCTGTCCACTCCTCCACTCAGACCATGGGATCTGCCCTCCGTGTCCTGGTCCCTGGAGCGAGGTCTCCAAGGCTGCCCATTCCCCACAGCCAGCACTTGCCTCTCTGCCCTCAGCCACCCGCACTGGGGCCTCCTCTCCCTGAGCCTGTCTCGCACCTGGATCCGTGTCCCCCCCGCCCAGGTATTTCCACCTGCATATCTTGTGGGCACCCCCCACCCCAGAATGGTACAGACATCCCTGACCCCCTCTCTGAGTTGGCTCTATCACCACCAAGGGGCCTGATGGGCCATGGGGGCCGCACGCTTCCCTCCTGCCCGACTCCACCAGCAGGTCCTCTTGTGGGACCCCTACCCCCTCTCATTGGCCTCCATCCATCACATGGGTCTCTCCCATCACTCAATGACAAACCTGGCTGGAGGAGGTAGGGGCCATTCAAGCTACCAGGCAGTCTCAGTGTTCTCGACACCAGCTGCCACACGAGCCGGCTCTCAGCTGGTGTCACCCAAGCAACTCTTCTCTGGGACCATGTCCCCAAGAGGTTTTCCAAGGTGACATCTCCCAGCCTGCACTTTCCAATATGTGGGTGTGAGAGGGACCATCACGCCACAACCACCAGGGCAGCATCCACACTCCCACAAAGCCCTTGGAGCTGAGTGAGGCTGGGGGTGGCCAATAGGGCCCGTTTCCTACAGGGCTCGGAGGTGCCCAGCTCAGCCTGGGCCCGAGTCTTACCCCCGGCACAGGCGAGGACCTCCACAAAGTGGTACGGGAACTTGCCCTTCTTCAGCTTTAGGACCACATTCTGGATGTTTCGAAAGCCATAAGCAGCAGCAAAGCGCAAGAGAACCTCCCCGCTCTTCTCAAGGGTGACCTCCTGGAAGTCTTTGTTCCTATAAAATCAACAACACAGACTTCGATCTGTAGGGTCCTTCCTCTGTGGTTTGAGGATTATTTCCAGTCTAAGTTTGGAGTGTCAGCAAAATTTAAAAGTCTGTGAATAATACATAAAAGTCCTTTTGATCTTGACTGGTATAAATTCTATAAATAGGACCTCCCTCCCAGACCTGCAGCTGGCTTTACAGGGCGGGGCTCCTATTTATAGAATTTACACCTGACAGGCAGCGCTGACCACAGAGGCAGACAGACAGAGGCCATCCCAGCCCCACGCACCTCAGGGCGCGGTAGGTGACCTCCCCCACGTCCTCGTTGAACAGCTCCTTGGCCGCATGTCTGAAGATGTGCGCCAGGTATCCGTCAGAGCTGGCTCCGTCATGGCGTCTAACCTCCTCTTCCTTCATGTCTCCAAACCTCACCAGGCAGGAAAAGTGACAGCAAGAGTTAAATCCAACTCCCTAAGTTTTATGATCCAAGGTCCCGAAAACCTTTACAAGTATTTAGACTTTGGGCAAAAACCTCATCTGTGTTGGGTTTCACTGGCTGACATGAAGTCTGCAGGTGCAGGCGCGCCCACCACTACCCGAATGACTCCTTTCCTCTGGCTGCATGTGTGTCAAGGGTATGACCCTTAGAACCTCACAACTCGGGGCATGAGAACTAGGCATCTGAAGGCCACTTGAGAGGGCACACCATCTGTGCCCAGCCAGGACGAGGCCTCTGGGTCAGCCTGGGCCCAAGCATGGGCTCTGGCCACAGGCACACCAGTCGCTTACATCCTATGCTTACAGTCCACCTTCCACACCAGGGCCACACGTGGGCCTGACGTCACTGCCGGAAGGATCTGCTGCGCAGCCTGTGTGTGCCCTGTGGCCCTCGTGTGCTCTTGCAGTCTGTGTGCACTCTGGGGAACAGGATGCAGCAGGACTGCGGTCAGTGGTTGGGGTCACCACTGATGGCAGAAACCCAGTCTGCTGCTCTTGGGCAAAGGGACCTGAGGGAGCCACTCTGTGTCTGGAGGTACCCCCCAATCCCCCAGTAGGTCCAGGTGTAACGTCAGGAACACGTGAAGTTCAGGAGTGGGGGTGCTGGTGTCCACTCCACAGTGCTGCGCGTGCTCTATGCAGAGCCAAGGGTCGTACGTAGTGGGGCAACAAAGGGAGTGGCTCCCCAGGCCAGGGGCCTCACCACACCCAGGCCTCAGTGTGGCACGTGGCCTCACTGTAAAGGAGGGAGGCCTTGGGACATGCGCCTGGCAGAGGTCACAAGGTCACACAGGAGGCCCCCAAGGTGCAAGGGTGCCTCTCCCTGCAAAGCCACTTACAGAGTGTCCAGAGCAGCGTCTCTCACCGAGAGGTCGCTTTGTTCCATCATCTGAGTGATTTCACCTACAGACAAAGAAGCGACATAAGATGCCGTGACAGGACACGGCCCACATTTCCTCAGGAGCTGCTCCTGGTGTCACCTCCTTCCCTCGGAGGACATTCTAGGTTACAATGACCTTGGTCATCACGCCTGTCACAGGCAACAGATGCAAAGTAACACTGATGAAATGCCAGGGAAGAGTCTAATTCTTCCTTCTGCCCCTGAAACGGGGGCTTCTACAAACGTCTCCCGGTGTTTTTGTTTCCTGAGTGGAAAGCTTTCATGTGGATAGGATGACAGTTATCTGCAACAAGACCGATCAAAAATCAGGACCACTTTTGTATCTCCCTTTGCACAAGGGATGCTGAAGAAACCCTTAACACTAAGGGTGTATCCTGAATCAACTGCTGTGGTGTCAGGTGTGTGTGAGAAGACTGAACATCTGTGAAAAAGAGTAAAAATCTACTGTATTCAAAGAAAACATGCCCAAGTGTGCTTCTTAGGAAAACCCATCATCTAAGGTGAGCAGAGGGCTGTGGCTGAGGCTCTCCCACCCCACTCACCCCCATCACCGCCATAGGAGCCTGTGCGGTGGGGACCTTTCCACGGGCTTCCATGTGGGGAGTTTCTGGTCAGGGGACCCACTGTCCTCGGAGGTTGCCAGAGAGCCAGCCACTCTGCCTCCATGCCGTAGGGACCTGTTTTCAAGGCCATTTAAAGTACACCCACCTGGGCTTCAGCAAAGACTTAATCTACCTCTCAACTGATGGCAGCATTCTGAATGGCTCTTGAGGATTCCAGGGAATCACTCCCATCCCAACACTGAGAAGGTGCTGCGGGCTCTCTGCACAAGTCCAGGGGCAGGGCCTCCAAGAGGAGCTCCCCAGCAATGTCCGTGGTCACACATGTGCTTTCTGCTTTGCTCTGAAGGAGGAAGCTTCAGTGTCCCCAGTGTGGTTGTGTGTCAGGCCCTCACTGTGGACACGCACCGGCCGCGGGGCTGGCCTCCCCCTGATGCTTTTCCCAAGGCCCCACCCTCACCTGAGGTTAGCACGCAGTCAATGCCCCGAGAACCCCTCGAGGCCGTGAGAACATCTTCCTGAAGGGCCTCCAGCTTCTTGTCATAGCAAGGGGCCACGATGACATGGAAAATCTTGTCTGGGGACAGGTTCTGTGCAGGAAAAGCAAATCCACATTGGGGGCCATGCAGAAGGAAGGGGGCAGCTTAATGCGCTGGAGCCAGAACATGCCGCAAGGGAGCAGGCCTGGTGCTTTCTCGGGGTCCAAGACCCGGCTCCCACAGACCAAGTTCCTGAGCCGCAGCACCCCCAAGCCCACCCATGGTGCCACCTCGCTCAAGACCTGCTGCCTGGACACTCACAGGGAGAAGCCAGAAGCTGGCCTGTTTCCCCTGAACTATGCACATGGTGACCAAACATCTTGACAACAAGCCGCTGCTGGACTGTTAATGAACGCCCAGCCGTTTTCCCCGCAGACTTTCCAGATGCTTCTCAAGAGACCAGGCCGCCCCTCTCCGTGCCCCTGGCTGAGCAGAAATTGGTGGCAATGCCAGAAGCTGGAAGCTGAGTGACCAGGTGTCTGGATGCCCCCTCAATCAGCAGGGCCTGGGGCTGAGACCACCTTGTACGCCCGGTGGAACCTCCCCTGCCCTCCCTCACTTGCCCTCAGTTCCCATCAGCACCTGTCCTCACATGGAAGCTCATCGCCTGACCTGTATGCTGCCCTTCAGGAAGAGGCCAGCTTACCTGCCGTCTGGCAAAGTAATCCTTCACCAGGGATCCCATAATCTGCTGGGGAGACTTGGCAGTGCAGAGGTGGGGGGTGACAGGGTGACCTAGCACCCGCTCAGCATATCGGACCCAGCCTGAGGAGGAAAGGGCCCCGTGTCAGCTCCTCGTGGCTGCCTCACCCGGAGTAGAGCAGGACATGTCTTCTTTCAGGAGTGCGTGACAGGCTCCCTCTGACCAGGCCGCCTCTCCTCAGCGGCTCGGCCACGGGAATCCCAGGTGCGTCTGCCATAAGACTGGAGAGTGCCGGGAATGCGCGCCTCCCTTGGCCCCAGACCAGAGAGAACAGAGCAAGAGTAAGAGCTGGGGTAGCAGGTCTCCCCAAATTGAGAACAAGCTTGAAGGAGCAGCTACGAGGTGGCATCCTGGGCGGCTTGGTTCCAGCTCCACCTTGCCAGCTGCAAAGCTGTTCTCATAGCCAGGATGGGTGGCCACAGTTCAGACAGGAGCCAATGGCCACCAGGCCTACCCAGCTTCACTCACCTATCGGAAATTAACAGCCCAGTAATTGCCCACTGTTAGGACAATGAAATATGAGAAACCCACACTCCCCAAGCAATGCACAATAAGCAGCACAACCTGCAGTGTGCCCATGGCATGCCCAGCATGGTCCTTAGCATTTCCCCTGAGTTGCTGACTCCCACAATGCCTTGGGAGTGCACCACCGCTGCCATAGATTCCGGGGTAGACTGCAGGTCAGAAAGGTCAGTGGACCAAACAGCCTGCAGCCTCAACCTGCAGGAGCAACAGCCTGCTCCCCTCTCCTGCTGGGCATGACCTGGTAAGGAGAGCGTCTGGTGACACTGCTGATCCTACAGCAGTGTCTGGTGTGCACACCACAGCACCATGAAAGGGGTGTCGGGGGGGGGAGTGGGGGCAAGGAAGCCTGGAGACAAGCTGCCCACCAGAACCCTGGGGCAGCCACCTCCCCATGCCCACTCCCAGAAGGAGGAACAGCAAGCACCAGCCAATCCCATCTGAACAAACTCAAACCAGTCATCACCTGCTTGCAGGCCTGAGCATACTCAGGAAATGTCCATGGTCACCAGCATAAGCCCCTAAGAGAAATGCTGCTGGAGGATGGCTCCCCTCGTTCCCAGCCTCTGCACGTGTACATGGAATGGTTCACATTAAAAAAGAAAAACTAGGGAATTCCCTGGGTCCAGTGGTTAGTACTTAGCGCTTTCACTGCCGGGGCCCCAGGTTCAATCCCTAGTTGGGGAACTAGGATCCCACAAGCTGCATGGCGTGGCTAATAAATAAGTAAAAAGAAAAAAGAAAAACTATCAAAGGTCGTTGAGCATTTGCGGGCCCAAGACCACTCCCACCACAGGTCTGGCTTTGTAAGGCCCCTGTGCACCCTGGTCTCAGCGCCAGTGCCCACACCTGCAGACTTGGCTCTCAGGCAGACCCCAGCTCCATGCTGCGGGCGAATGTGCTATGTGCTGTGAAGGCCTCGCACAAGATCAGGCAGAACACCAGGCGGTAGGAGCCAGGGCCCCGGAAAACCTCCTGGCCGGGGCAGGGAAGAGGACCAAACAGGCATGAGGAGGAGGAACCGGGTCACAGGGTCCACAGCACCTGGCATAGGACACCAGACAGGCTAGCACTTTCTCACGGGCACCCCTGATCAGAACTTGCCACCAGCACCGGCGTGGAGCTTGGTAAGCCCCGCTGGCCCCCCAACTTGGTGGCAGCATGGGTGTGGATAGGGCACCCAAATCCCACCCTGTCAGGCTACTCACCTCTTCTCAGTGACCCTCTCTGAAGGCAGAAAGGGAACCTGCTCAGAGAAGTGCCTGGCACAAGGTTCCCGCTCTCCAGACACTCTGCTGGGTTGGAGAGATTACTTCCCACACTTGAGCTCAATGAGTGCTCTTGGCGGGATATCACACAGCCCAAGGCCAGTGAGCATGTCCAGAGCTGAGCAGCTCAATACCCCCTCTCCCATCCACCCCCGCTGGGCAAAGGTGCATCGGCAAGGTGGTGCTCCATTGGCTTGTGGGCAGCAAGGGCCTGCCCAGATGTCCCTATCCCGGCCTGGATGTGCTGCCCTCCAGTCTGAGGAAGCATGACTGGGACATAGGGACCCTGTGTGCAGAAGCCTGGCAAGTCAGTCCAGGACCACCTATAGCCTGATTCTGCACACCAGGTCAAATCATCCGACTTGGTGCTGTTTTAATTTCCCTAAGTTGTCACAGGGAAGCAAAACAGCACCAAATTCTAGAAAAGGGTTAGGTCCGAAGCAGATCTCACCTCATCTCCCTGAATTTGAGAGGTGGCATAAACATGAACAACAGTTACAGTTTTGACTGGCTTAGCTACAAAGAGCTCCCGAAGGAAAATGCATCATTATCTAGGAAGAAAACTCGGAGAAGCTCCAAACCCACGAGTAAACAGCCCTGAGCAGCTCAGGGAGACCACCAAATGCAGCAAACACAAAGCTGGAGGAGGGAGAGTGGCTGGTCTGCAGCAACAGCAGACAGCCCAGTTCTCCACCAGCGCTGCACTCACTCCAAGGACAGAGGGCCCATTGCTTTCTGCAGGAATCAACCACCTGCTTATTACTACCCAGGTTAGCAGGGCTAGTTCCTGCCAGGAGTGGAGGCTTCTGTCCCAGGCTCCATCCCAACAGGGCCTACCACATAAGGTATCCATCGCTATCTGAAGGTTTGGTGTCAGGACAGCACAGGAATTCCTGTGATCCTGCCGACAGGAACGTGGAATGGGAAGTCTGGAACCACCGCCCTGGGGGCACAGGCCGAGCTCGGGTCATTTTATACTGCCTCTTCCTTGGATGGGTGGGAATGAGCCACAGTGAATGGCTGTGTGGCATCGAGTGAGGGCCCCACAAGGAGCCGGTGCTGGGATCCCAGGGGCAGGGGCACCTCTGCAGTGCCCTTGGAGAGCCAGGTGGTTCCCCGAGACCTCAGCTGTGCATACTTACTCCTAAGCAGCTGCGAAAACACCTACAAGGACATAAACACAGAAGTGGACACCACGGTCCAGCAAAGTGTGCATTTAGAGTCAGTTTATACATAGACTCTGGATACAGAAACTGCCTGACACGCCTGGAGAGCTGGGAGCATCCACGTGGGGGGTCATCTTTCCAGGAGGACAACCTACACACCAGAAATAAGCCCCACCTGATGCTGATCACCTCTCGCCGGCTGGTGGGCCGCTGAACAACATCGCTCAGTTAATGAATCAACCCATGGGCCTCTTGGACAGATGGCAAATTTCCTTTCCATGGTTTTATGAGTGGGTGGAAAGTACTTCCAAATTCTAAGCAACCATAATGTCAACGTTCAACTTTGTTAAATTGTAATCCTAATGATTGATGGGCGACATGTAAAATGCTAGAAAAATTTGGAACCATGGTGGGGGAGGAGGGGTAAACTGAAAATAGAAAAGTAAACAAAAACCTAAGATTATGTAGAACATAACTGGGCTCTCACAAACCTGATTTATTTAGAAATAATTTTTTCACTAAATGTCACTTACCAGTACAGCACTTCCTCCCTTCCCTTATGCATCATCTTTAAACATTTTCTTATTCCAAAACTTTCTATTTTTCCAGAATTAAAAAACCTGTGATAAAATTTCTCTACCTCAGGCACCAAGCTCTATATAATAAAACTAATTAAAGACTGGTTTAAAAAGTGCTCCAGGATGGAATCTAGTATTAATGTAAAGAAATATTTTTTATTATGTAACTTCTATTTAAGCTGGCAAAAGATCCATGGGTGTTCATATTATCTATAATTGTTTGGACATTTGAAATATGTCATACTTTTAATAAATATGTTGGTCGATGTAAAACTACTCAAGGCTCAAACTACTCCCCAAGACCCACTGACCCCCTGACCTCATCCACTGCCTAGGCCTGCCCCCAAACGCAGACTGATGTGAAAAGGTGCTTCAGGCACCCAGAGGCCCAGCCGCAGGCCCTGTGCTCACCAGGACAGGCAGAGGTCAGCATGGGTAACGTGGGCTCTTCCTCATTGTGCTGGCGGAATCGACGCACAAATTCTTTTTGACTCTCCAGGATGCTGAAATCTGCAGCGATTGTTGTATCGAAGACATAATGCACCCCTGCAGGGAAGAGAGGCGCATTCGGCTCCACGTCACAGAATATGGGATCTGTTCTCAGGGTCTGGAGTGTCAAGGACAAACTGAAAGGGCAGACTCCACAAGCATCGCTAGCTGCCGAAGTAGGAGACTGTCTGTGCCCTTTACTCTTTCAAACAACAGCATGTATCATTTTTCACAAAAAACATATATATTCTCTCTCCTGCTTCCTCTTTTCCCCTCTACATGTACACAAACACCTTACCGTACGTACTCCATATGTAAATTAATGCAATATTACAAGCAGTATTCTCTTCCAATTCACTGGCTAAATTAAATTCCAGTCTGTAATGCTCTTTGATATCTTTAAAATAAACAAAATGAGTAAACTGGCTAAGCATACCTTTATTATGTTGATTTTTAACTAGCTTTTTCTTAATAAATATTTTTCTTTTTTTAAAACTCAAGTATAGTTGATATACAGTATTATATAAGTTACAGGTGTATGATATAGTGGTTCACATATTTTAAAGGTTATGCTCCATTTATAGTTATTATAAAATATTCGCTATAGGGAATTCCCTGGCGGTCCAGTGGTTAGGACTCAGCACTCTCACTGCCATGGCCCAGGTTCAATCCCTGGTCAGGGAACTAAGATCCTGCAAGCCACGTGGTGTGGCCAAAAAACAAATTTTTTTTTGCTATATTCCCTGTGTGGTACAATATATCCTTGCAGCTTATTTTATACCTAATAGTTTGTACCTCTTTATCCCCCACCCTTATAGTGTCCCTCCCCCACTTCCCTCTCGTTGGTAACCACTAGTTTGTTCTCTATCTGTGAGCCTGCTTCTGTTTTGTAATATTCACTAGCTTACTATATATTTTTAGATTCCACATATAAGAAATATCACACAGTATTTGTCTTACTTTGTCTGACTTAATTCACTTAGCATAATACCCTCCAAGTCCATCCATGTTACTGCAAATAAGTTCTTAACATTGGAAAATAAACCTAAGACAAAAGAATGTGCTTTCAATAATTACAATAAAATAAAACAAGCAAATAATTTTAATATCTGCAGCTGGTCTAAACCTTAAAAGCAGCCAGTTATTCTTAAAAAGAAATATTATGGGGCTTCCCTGGTGGCGCAGTGGTTGAAAGTCCACCTGCCGATGCAGGGCACGCAGGTTCGTGCCCTGGTCTGGGAGGATCCCATATGCCGCGGAGCGGCTGGGCCCGTGAGCCATGGCCGCTGAGCCTGCGCGTCGGAAGCCTGTGCTCCGCAATGGGAGAGGCCACAGCGGTGAGAGGCCCGCGTACCACAAAAAAACAAAAAAGACATATTATGGGGACTTCCCTGGTGGAGCAGTGGTTAAGAATCCGCCTGCCAATGCAGGGGACACAGGTTCAATCCCTGGTCGAGGAAGATCCCACATGCCGAGAAGCAATGAAGCCCATGCGCCACAACTACTGAGCCTGCACTCTAGAGACCACGAGCCACAACTACTGAGCCCACGTGCCACAACTAATGAAGCCCGTGTGCCTAGAGCCTGTGCTCTGCAACAAGAGAAGCCACTGCAATGAGAAGCCCGCGCACTGCAACGAAGAGTAGCCCCGCTCGCCGCAACCAGAGAAGGACTGCGCGCAGCAATGAAGACCCAATGCAGCCAAAAATAAAAATAAATTTATAAAAAATAATTTTAAAAAAGAAATATTATAAATGTTGTGTCACCTTAAAGAGTTACCTTAAAAATATGTTTCACTGTGGATATATTTTCTTTATTAATATTAACACATAATGCCCAATTATTTATTTTTAAAAAATACCCCCCCTAAAAATAAGGCCTTTCACTATGAGAAGACAGAGCATCTAATAACTTCGATCTCTGGTAAAACTAAGCTAACCTTAGGCTTTTTAAGATTAAAAGCATAAAGGATGACTTAAGGAGTCCACGCTGGTAGCTGCAGCCTTAGTTTTGATTGTGGCAGGCAGTGCACCGAGAAACAGCTCCACGTGGAAAGCAACACGGAGCAGTGAGGCAGGCAGACCAGTGCGAGGACATTTAGTCTACATGTCCTCTTATTTTATTAGTAATTCCAATGCGTTTATATCTTTAAAAATCCATTGAGGAGGGCTTCCCTGGTGGCGCAGTGGTTGGGAGTCCGCCTGCCGATGCAGGGGACACGGGTTCGTGTCCCGGTCCGGGAGGATCCCACGTGCCGCGGAGCGGCTGGGCCCGTGAGCCATGGCCGCTGAGCCTGCGCGTCCGGAGCCTGTGCTCTGCAACGGGAGAGGCCGCAGCGGTGAGGGCCCGCGTACCACAAAAAAAAAAAAAAAAAATCCATTGAGGAACAGTAAAAACTCTTATTTGGCAAATGGCTCAAGTTCTCCTCTTCTGAGCCCACCTGTAGGACACTCTGGGTTGGAGGGGAAGTTCCAGTCTGACATGACAGACAAGACAGAAGCATTCTTATCGCTGTTTGAGGCAGTATTACTCTAGTATTCATTCACATTTGAGTCATCATGTACTGACCTTTCATTCTTCACACAAAGGACATAGCCCATTCCCTTCCTGCTCTGATCTTCAGAGAGCTTCCTGGGAAACCAGATGCCAAGCATTGTAGATGTGATTCTCCATCAAATAAACGCCCTCTGTAACCACTATGAGCCAGGCAACTCAACATTGCTGGGCAAGCGTGGGTCCCAGGTGTCCCCAGCTACGTGCCCTAAGATGGTCATTTGCTGTTCCCGGAGGGGCCAGCCCCGGCCGTAACACAACACTCATCTGCATGGCAAGAGGGGAAGTGACACCAGCCTACCATGCATGGGTCAGAGAGACGGTCCTCTCAGGTTCCACAAAACTCTCATGGAAGTTCTTACCTATCCTGTGCCTTTGAAAATTGAACTCTAGAGATTAAAAGGGCAGTTAAAAACTCAAGTTATAAATTCAAATTAAATCAGATTTATTTGCTATAAATAATATCAAAAGGCACCTCACCAAGACTTTTGAGGAAGCCACAGAGTCTTCTGGATGCATCAGTCACACTGAGGCTGAATTTAGCAGCAAAATAAGGCAGAGACTGAGGACATACCGACACTGCCAGCACCTTGTGCTTTGAGGTATCACATTTCTAGGAGAAATAGAGAAGAACATTGTACATGTGGTGATTACACAGGGAGTGAAAGTAAGACACCTTCATGAAAAGTCTAGAACAAACAGAATGTAACAGATGCCCTATGGAAAAACTAATAAAATATACAAGACACTGGCAAGCACGAAGAAAAAGGAGAATAAAACGAGAATGAAAAGAATGAGATATTCCAAGAGATTTTATCAATTTTAAGAACAATATTAAATCAGAAATATATACATTGATATTATACATAAATGCAAACATCTGGAGAATATGGATAAATTTAAAGGAAAAATAAAAGTTATGTACAATATTGGACTGTAAATAACTGAAATGACCCATAACAATGAAAATACATGAAAATGGGGCCCTGAGGTCTGTCCCCAAGAGACCTCAAGCCCAGGTCACTTAGTGGCAAATTTTAGCAAATTTTTAAGTAGTAGATGATCCTCATTTTCTGTGAAGTCTTTAATAAATACCGAACAAACAAGCGTGAAACCAGGCTATCACACCCTGAATCCAAAACCAGATGCTGGCAGTTCAAGAAATCCCTAGAAAAATATGAACAAATTGAGTTTAGAAGCGTGCTGACTCATCACGGACACGCAGGATGTAACCCGGGGAGCAGCATGAGCAAGGATGTTGGGCATTAGAAAGTCAGCAGTGGGATCCCTTAACCTGGGATTAGAGGAGAGAGAATGCAGGATTATCATGACAGAGACTGTTCAGGTCAGACATTGCCTGCAAATGAGGAAAAGCAGAAACCTGGACAGAGGTGTTCAGTGGTCACCTTCCACCACAGTCTACCTGTGGACTGGTCACAGACAGGACAGTCTGGTCCTGTACCCATGCCCCTGCCTCGAAGCTCACGCGAGACAATGCTGAGGCTGCCTATCTCCTCTGGATGGGATTTCACCTTCATGTGACGCCTGGGAAGCCCACACCCAACAAATCCATCAGGGCACCAAGCTGGCACACACTGACCTCCAGCTCCCTCACAAATTCCTATGATGCCCAAGCCAGCCAGGCATGGTTTCTGTGGTTTGTGACCAGCAGCATCCTAATATAAATTTGGAAGCAGGAACAAGGGGGTGCAAGTTTCAAATGCTACTGGAGGAGGAAGAGCAGAGGGCGGTCTGTCCCCAGCTTCAGGAGCCAGACTCGAAACTTCCTGCCCCTCTGTCTGACACCCTGCCCAGGGAATTGCGAGGGTGCACTCCTCACTTCATTCTCACTCAAATATCACCTCCTCTGAGGGAGCCGATTTATGACCAAGAGGGGATCACCCTGAGCCCGGAGCCAAGGGCAGCAGGGAAATAGAAACTGCTTTTTCCTGATGACAGCCCTGACTGACTGACTCAGCCAAACCCAAAACCTCTCCCACTTCTAAGCTTTCAGTTTCATGAAATAACTAAGCATTTCCTTTTTATGCTAGTCTGACTTGGGTACCCATTTTCTATAGCCAAAATGCTGACTGGTATGAGTATCTACATCTCTTTAATAGTAAAAGATCCTGCAAACATCTATTTAATAGTAAAACTTTACCAGCATTTCCACTAAAGTCTGAAACAAGACATTAGTACTATTTTTTAAATTTAATTTTATTATTATTATTTTTTTAATTGGCCACGCCACACGTGGCATGTGGGATCTTAGTTCCCCGACCAGGGGTCGAACCTGCGATCCCTGCATTGGGAGTGTGGAGCCTCAACCACTGGACCGCCAGGGAAGTCCTGACATTAGTACTATTTTTATCACTACTGCTATTTCAGGTTGATTTAAAGGTCCTAGACAATACCATCAGAAGAAGAAATAAGATATACACAGACTGGAAAAGAAAAAATTTGTTACCTGCAGTCAGTACACCTAGAAAAAAACCTGGGCCTCACATGGGCCAAAGCGCCCAGCACGGTGTGTAGAGCCGGTACACATACTGCCTGGGAAGCAGCTGCGAGAGCACAGAAACACCCCAGGCCAGAGTGAGGGCGAAGAGAGATGTGCTTTACAGCCTCATCTGCCTCCGCCTTTCCTGTCTTTCCCCTTCACCTGTCTTCCTGTCACTACTGGAATACAAGTGACATTGAGTAGTTCCGTCTGTACAGGGAGTCTGCAGGGATGAACTGAAGGACCACAGCCCTGCCCCAGGCCGCAGAGCCTGTGAGGACAGAAGCCCTGCCTCTGAGAATGCCCCAGAGGCAGAGCGGCAGCAGCTGAGCCACCACACCATCCCATGACCAAGCACTCAGAGGCCTCCCCCAAGCCAGGGGAGCCTGGTCGGTGGGGCGGGCCATAGCTGCTGCCCACATCAATGAGGGAGTGTGACTGTGGGTGCGGTTTTGTTCTGACAGGGCTAGGGAGAGGGTCAACTACAGCAAGGGACACAGGGCCAGGGCCAAGATGCACTCCCCAAGCCCCAGCAGAGGCTTCATGCCTCACCTTGACCTCCACCCACCTCTGGCGCCAGAAAGTGCCTGGGATGCCGTACCTTGTTAAGGTTCAGAACTCGCAAGAAGTCCTTGGCGTTCTGCTGGGAAACCTGGACTCCTTCCTCTGGAGACACACAGCTGTCACAGGCCAGGCAGTCACTCAGAAATATCTTGGCATCAGCCAATTTATGGAATTCTCCTTTCTACGAAAGAAAGATGATGCTCTGGGCCTGATTCTTCAACAAAAACTCTTTAATACTTGCTTCTTTAGAAAACGTAACAGCGCAAGCATAATAAGAAAACTGGTGCAAAACCCCTGAGACATCCAGGCCAGGCCTGGAGCTCCAGGTGCTGCAGCCACCATGGTACCACGGTACCACGGATGGCAATATGTGGGGAGTGGACCAGCACCGTCAAATGTGGCAGGAGGAGAGCTACACTTCTGGGCTTCTCCTGCCCCCATGCCTCTCCCTGCTGCCACTGGGGGCTCCTGGCTTGGCCTGCTCTGCACTCCCTGTTGAGCTCGCCCAGTCCCACGGCTCCCCACAGAAGCCTCCCATGGAAGCCCGCAGACTGGCCTCCCTGAGAGGCTTAGAACTAACGTATTTCACTGCTGACCCGTGGGCAACAGGGCCCTCACGTCACAGAGCTGTGACGCTCAAACTCACACATCAGTGACTCTGCTCCCTTAGACACAAGACAATAACCCTTGGCTGCTTCGTCTTCTCCTTGTTGCACCTGCGCCCACTTGCTCCCTGCAGCTCCCTCCCTAGGCAGAGGTCCACCAGAACACAAACCACACCTCCGATGGAGGCCCTCATTGCCTTCACTCCTCCCAGCTCTCACCTCTAGCCACTCTGGCCCTTCCTTCTCTGGGTCTCCCTGAGGGAAATGCTCCCTGAGAGCCTGGCTCACCCCTCGGACCCTCGCAGACACCTGCCAGAACAGCACCCCCTGGCATCTATGTGTTGCCCCTTTTCCCTGAAATGCAAGCTCTGAGGGAGCAACCTTGTCTCATTCCCTTCTGTTCTCTGACGTCTCCTGTATACAGAAGGCACTCAATAAATATTTGGTGGATGAACATATGAATATTCTGAAGCCTACTAGAGCCATTTCAACAGCCCCTGATGGTTGTACATTGGTTCTTCTTTCAAACATTTAGTGAGAGAGGGCTCGCGGTGGGGGTGGTGTGGCCCTCCCATCCACAGCAGCTCTGAACAGGAGTGCACACTGTCACCTCCCTCCTCCCCATGTGCCCCGGTGTCACAGTGCAGCGCTCACTCCGGGACCTTGTTATGTTGCAGATGCTCATTCAGGAGGTATGGACAGGACCCAAGGGTTTGCACTTCTAACAAGCCCCGAGGTGGGGTCAGAGCTGCTGCTCCAAGGGTCTGGAGCACATGGCTTGGCACACAGCTGGTGCCTAACAGGTACTGTTGAGCAGCACTGAGAATTCTGCTTCCACTGCCCCTGCAGAGGCGCCCAGGACCACACTCTGAGCCGCCGTGGGCAGCAGGGCTCCCCCCCAAGCCTACGAGCCACATGCCACCCCATCATCCTCATCCTTCTGCAGGCTTTCAAGGGCCAGGCCTGGTTCCTTCCCACCTGTTGCGGTCCTTTCTCTTTCTCCTGCTGCCTCTTAAACACGGGCATTCTCCGCAGAAGCCTATCCATCGGCCCTTCTCTCCTATCAGCCTCACTTCTCAGAGCAGCGTCAGGCCCCTACTCAACCTCTCCAATCTCAGCCTCCAGGGAGCTCTCTCCCTCCCAAGCTCCAGACTGATATCCTGCAAAGCTCAGTGTCCATGCAGCTCAAACTGCACTCAGCTCCCTGTGCCACGCCCCCTTTCCTGCTTCTGCCACTCTGGCTGGCCCACCCAGGCCTCACCACCCTCAGCTTCCCAAGTAGTTTCCTTCTATTCTTCCCCTACTCTAGTCAGCTTAAGGCACCTACCTTAAAACATGCATCCAATCTATCTCCTTGCCCTTAACACCCTCCCTGTGCCTGATGAGCTTTCACCCCATCCCTACATCCCCCACCATCAGTTCTCACCACCCCTCAGGGCCCACTCCAGTAGCCACTTTCCTGAATGGCTCTTCCCATCAGGGGGTCCGCCCACTGTGCTGGCAGGGCGCCCACTTAAGCCATATACACACATTATCTCCCAGCTACCACAGCCCTGGGAGAGAAGTAACCCAACTCCCCATGTCACTGATAAGGAAACTGGGGCTCCCAGGGTTAGATGTCTGTCCAAGGTGATGTAGCCAGAGGGTGGGTGTGGGAGGCCCCAGGCCAGGTGCTCTGGGGCTGCAGGGCCCCAGGTGCTCACTGCCTCTCTTCTGCCTCAGTGCCCTGGGTGCTTGTCTCATCCCCTGCTGCTCACTAAGCCCTACAGTCACCAGAGCACACAGCAGCACTGGTACATGACACAACCATATCAAAGCCTGTCTGACTCAATGCTGTATTAGGACTCCTAAACTAAAGAGGAAACCTGCTGCTTGCTTCTTCCATGTTGCCAATTTTCCATTTCTAAAACCGGTACCAGTACTTTTTAAGGGAAGAAATAACCTTAACCTCCCTGTACCGCATCCTCCTCTCTGTAAAATGGGGACAAACGGTAGGGCTTACTTGAAATGCTCATTCTGAGCATGAAATGAGATCACATGTATAAAGCACTTTCTCTAGCGCCCAGCTCAGGGTATGCACCCAGTAATTGTAAACTGTCACTACTGGCTAAGGAAAACCTAAAAACTCAAGAACTGAGAGAAGAAGCCATTAGAAAAATAAACTTACAGAATCAGGAAATCTGAATTATTTTATAAATTACCTACCTAAAATCCCATCTTACAGAATAGAACTTTTCACTAAAAAAAAAAAAAGAAGGTTTAAACATTACAGCTCTATTTCTAATAAACAGCCAAGGACAACATTTTTCTTTGTCCCTAACATGGTATGTCTTGGCTTGGTGTATCGTGTGAAGAGACACTGTTTCGTGCTCTGACCTTGAAGATCATGTGCCTCCAACTGACTGACCTGCACGTTTGGCCCCTGCATTTCTTGCTTCTTTCTTTCTTACAGCAATGATGTACCTGGTGATGTGAGCCCCCAAAGAGGAGAAAAACAGCAGCAGCTGTTTACTCCAGGCTGATACAAAACTGAAAAATCTACTTGCCTCTCCATTCTCGTGGGCTGGACTTGGTACATCGACTGATGCATTCTCTTGGTCATCGGTTTTTGTTTTTTTACTACATTCCTTGAAAAGGCAAAGGAACATATGAAAGAACAACTTTTAATCTGACTCTGTGAATTTAAAAAAACATACATACTTGCTGATGAATTCATCGCATGTCTCAAAATCTTTTCTACAGAAATAGAAGCACTTATAATTGTGGACATACAAACACACCCATACACACCTTTATACCTGCATTGTTTGCAGCAAATGAAAACTAGAAGCAATGTGGCCTCTCATGACAGGTAAATTAATGCCAGACTACCTGGACATGTGTATACTTGGAATACAACGAACTAAGGTTGTGTGTAATGCTATGAAAAGGTATCTCCTGTACAACGTTGAGTGAAAGAAAGAGCAAGTGATGGAATAATATTTATGATACGATCCAATTTTGAAAAAACAAACAGAAACCCGCCTGTGCATCACAGCCTAGAAGTAAGCGGGTAACGCTATCACAGTTACCGTGGTTACCCAGGTAGCAGAAGGCCCAGCCCGTGTTTCCTTCCTGCACTTCTGTATCGTTTTCGTTACTGTAAGCACGAAAGTTTTTAGGTAGCATAAAGCCCCCTAAAAACACTGTTGATCACCGTACCGCTAATTCACACCAAGGATGGTGTCTGCTGTGAGTGCCCTGACTGGTAGCAAAGGTTGGTCGGTTTTTCTGGTGGTTTTTGGCTTCGAAGGTACTTTGAAAGGATAGACATGCGCCCCGACGTCACGCCGCCTCCGGGAGACGGCAGCGGGAACCTGACGCGCGGGTGGCCCACCCTCAGCGGCCTCCACCCCCGAGAACGGGAACTGCGGGCCGGCGCCCGGAGGTTCTGTCAGCGACGACGCGGAGGCAGAGGCGCTCGGAGCTGCCAGGCTCCCGACGCCCCCGAGGCCCCGGGCTCTGCGAGCGTAGGCTCCTCCCGACCCCGGACCCTGTCCCGGACCCCGCCCCGGCCCCAGCGCGCGGAGCCCACCTTCCGTGTGCAGTGCTCACACTTCATCTGGAGCGGGGCTGGCAGGTCCGGGGGCGCGGCCTGAGCGGAGAACCGGGAGACGCAGTCACCGCCACCCGCCGCCCGCTGCCCGCCACCCTTTGTTGTCTTCGCTCCGACGCGGCCCCACCCCTCGCCGCTCCGCTCGACCAATGAAAGCTCCGGGAGCGAGCGAGCCACAAGCCTAAACCAACAGGAGCGCGTAGAGGGCGGTGCGCCTCCACGCTTCAGGTCCCCGCCTAGGCCAATGAGACCGCGGGAAAGGGGCGGGTCAGGCCCTGGAGCCAATAGGAGCACGCGGGGCGGAGCGGGCGGGACCCCCGCGGAGACCGCTGCCGGTTCCCCGGTGGGTTTCCGCGGCGTGCGGGTCTGACGGCGGCTGTGGGCGAGCTAGCTCACCGTCCCGAAGGGCCGGCCCGAGATCGTTCCCAGGGTGGTCGGGCGCGTCAGCTTGGCGCCAGACGCACGCTCCGCTCCGGGCCGGCCGAGACGGCGCCGCCCCGCCGCCATTTTCGCCCCGAGAGGCGTCACGTAGGCCCGGCGGGGCAGCAGTGCGCACGCGCGACGGGTCGGGAGCACGTGTCGCCGTCGGGAGTGCGAGGCACCTATGAAGCGGGGGTGCTGGACCAGCGTCTTTCCGCTGCCTCTGGCAAACCGGGGGTGGTGGTGGGGGATACAGGGCTAAGTGGAGATGCTGAACTCTGTCCACTGTGAACATTTTATGAAGTCTGTGCATGGTCATCGTACCATCGGAAATGAGAAATACACCTGGAAGAAAAGCATGAGGGTGTCTCTGTCAAACACCAGCAGTTCACAGGAATCTCAGAAATGGACCCTTGTTCCTCCTAACCTTGGGGGGGCGGTCACAGAGGTCAGCAAAACATTCAAGTATATTCCTCGTCCCAGAACCTCACTAGGATCTTAAAATTTTCCCCATTGAAACCGTTTTATTTTTTTTTAAATAGTTTTTGGTTCGTACCACTTTTTTTTTTTTTTTAACATGCCATCAGTTAAATTCAGGAGGTCCTAACTGGCTGCCAGATTTACCCATTGTATTACTCAAATCTATGTCAGCACCTCTCAGAAAACATCTTCAATTATCAGCTTGAAGAAAAGAATAATTTTAGGTTGTTATTTGTATACATTTCGTTAATGTTTTAAAAACATAAACAGTATGTGTGAAAAAAGCAAGTTACAATTAGTTTCATCAAATGTGTAGTTAGTGTCCAGGTTTCTTTCCAGGTTTCCCCAATGGTCTCATCATTTTTCTAGTTTCAATCAGGATCTAAATAAGGTTCAATGTTTTATTAGTCTATATTTCAATTGGTTTGTGTGTTTGTCTCTCTTAGAAATCTTTGTTTCCAGAAAAAAAATAAGGCTCACTTAGAAGTTAACAAATATAGTACAGGGAGTTCCCAGTCTTAAGGTTTTGGGAGTTTTTTTGGTTTGTTTTTTAAATCTGTAGGTTCCATCCACATACCCCCCCCCCTCTCTCCTTGCATATCATAAAGAAATCAGGTTGACTGCAGGGTTTTCAGCAATCACTGACTGCACCCATGTGGAGTTCTTTAGCATACCCTTATTCTGAATTTTCAGCAAAGGGTAGTTAAAACATTCTAGTGGCTTGATCACAGATAAAAATTTTTTGGCAAGACTACATAGTGTCGTGAAATCCCTTCAGGGGGTTCTATTGTCTGTCCTTTTTGTGATGTTAATTAGCAGCCATTGATGAGATTGCCTAGATTCATTAGGGTGATTTTTAAAAAATTATTTATTGGCTGTGTTGGGTCTTCATTGCTGCGTGTGGGCTTTCTCTACTTTCTGTGAGCAGGGGCTACTCTTTGTTGCGTTGCGTGGGCTTCTCTTGTTGTGGAGCACGGGCTCTAGAGTGCGCGGGCTTCAGTAGTTTCACACGAGCTCTAGAGCGCAGGCTCAGCAGTTGTGGTGCATGGGCTTAACTCCGCAGCATATGGGATCTTCCTGGACCAGGGCTCGAACCCGGGTCCCCTGCATTGGCAGGCGTATTCTTAACCACTGCACCATCTGGGAAGCCTCATTAGGGTGATGTTTTACTCCTATCATTTCTTCTTCACTTATTAGCAGGACTACTTCCATAATGAGAAATTCCTCTTATCCACTCTTTGATTATTCTGTTGAATTCTTCTGACAAGACATTAATAGTCTCTTTGCATTTTTTAAAAATAAATTTATTTATTTTACTTATTTGTTTTTGGCTGCGTTGGGTCTTCATTGCTGTGCATGGGCTTTCTCTAGTTGCGGCGAGCGGGGGCTACTCTTCATTGCAGTGCGTGGGCTTCTCATTGCGGCGGCTACTCCTGCTGCACAGCACGGGCTGTAGAGCGCAGGCTCTGCAGTTGAGGTGCACGGGCTTAGCTGCTCTGCAGCATGTGGGATCCTCCAGGACCAGGGATCGAACCCGTGTCTCCTGCATTGGCAGGCAGATTCCTAACCACTGTGCCACCAGGGAAGCCCAGTCTCTTTGCTTTTTAATACATTTCCTTGTACATTTCTTACTTCAGACCTGACATCAGTCTCACTGGGGGCACTCTGCTACAAAACCACTTAGGGGTTGCTGGGGAAGGTGGTAGATGCTGGGTGCAGTTGGCCAGTGTGTATTGTAAAAGCTGGACACTGGAGAAGCCCTGTGCACTGCAGGAGCCTGTGGATCCAGCACAACAGAACCAGAACCAGGAAAGGAAACTCTTCCTCCAAGTGTCTCCAGCACCCTCTATTGACAAAGCTTAATAACATGCCAGAGAGCACAGAACAAAATAAGGGCTCAGATGCATTCTCATAGAACAGGCAATGAAGTCTGAATTTAGAACAGAGATATAACGCATTGATAACTGGCAAAATATGCAGATTTTACTCAGTCCCCTATTTATGGATTTTGTATTTATTTCCAGACTTTTGCTCTTATCAATATTCAGCAGGAGCCTAGTTGACTTCCTTCCTTCCCTTCCCAACTTTTGTGTGATCTTCTAGAAAAAATTTTGCGGTACGGGGGCCTCTCACTGTTGTGGCCTCTCCCGTTGCGGAGCACAGGCTCCGGACGCGCAGGCTCAGCGGCCATGGCTCACGGGCCCAGCCGCTCCGCGGCATGTGGGATCTTCCCGGACCGGGGCACGAACCCGTGTCCCCTGCATCGGCAGGCGGACTCTCAACCACTGCGCCACCAGGGAAGCACTCTATTTCACTTTTTAAAAAATGAGACAATAAGTTTGATTTTATTCAAATATTGTCATATCTCTAAATCCAAGGAAAACAACTGGACTATTTCATACTCAGTGAAAAATGAGAATTAAAAGAATTAAAAATTTCACTGGCAAGAACTAATCAATCAGGGTGACATCAGCAAAATGGCTCAGTAGGAAGCTCCAAGCTCTCGTCCCCCACAACACACACACAGAAAAACAAGCAGAAACTGTCAGAACCAATTTGTGGAAAACCCTGCAAAGCAGTCAGAAATCTGTAACCACTAAGTGCTGAATTGAGAAAGAGGTACTAGAAGGTAGGAAAGTTTTAGAATTTGCTACCCCTGTCCATCCCCTCTGCAGGGCAGCAGCAGACTTGGTCTTAAAGCATAAATGGTCTTAAAGTGAAGCAGCCTGGGTTGCCAATGTGGGACGGTTTTCCTGGTTCTAGGGAGCAGAGCATATCTTGGGACAATTTATTGCATATGTCTGTTCCAACCCATCTGAGGGCTACCTGAAGGACTGACACAGGCACCTCTGTGTTTTGCCTACCTCAGAACTCAGGCTGAAAAAGCTTGAAAACACTGCAAATCAAATCTGCCCCAGAGCCAAAGGCGAAAGATCACAGTCCAAATACACAATACACTGCCTAAGGCAAAAGCTGGGGAGAGTTTTCCTGGGAAATTAGGACATTCAAAAGTAACAGTGCAGGGGGGAGAGGGGGACTCAGAATTGGTTGTAAATACTTTGCATATTGTCTGATTAAACACAAACAGATGGGGTGGGGGGAGTAACAGTGCATGCTGGGAAATTCAGAAAGCCACACAGATACCCAGCGCAAGATGCATGCTCATGTAAGACCTGAGAAGACCCTGGGCTTTCACCCTGGGCTGATCCCCAAGCACAGTGCAAGCCTGACCAAAAGTTGAAGGAGGGCCCAGGCACAGAGACAACTTTCAAAGACTGGGAGATGGGAGAGCTCCTGGTGTTCAAGGAAATCTCTGTCAAAACACCAGCTGAGGGACTTCCCTGGCAGTCCAGTGGTTAAGACTCCATGCTTCCACTCAAGGGGTCATGGGTTTGATCCCTGGTCAGGGATCTAGAATCCCGCATGCCACAGCCAAAAAACCACTGCGCCACCAGGGAAGCCCATAGGCTTCATTTTTAAATGGCTTGTACTCTAGTACAAAAGGTGAAATTATGCAAATAACTGTAATGCAAAGTAGAATTTTCTGGGTATCAACTTAGTTCTCCCTAAGTCCTAAGGAATTAAGATCACTTTCAGCTGCACCAAGCAAGAGGGACTTAAAGGAGGTGCTAACCAATTCAAATGGACCTTCAAGATGGTGTTGGATCTTACCAGAGAAGGCATTTCAAGAAGATGGAATGTGAGCTGAGGCATCAGGTCAGGAAACCTGCCGCATTCAGGCAGAACCTTCTTCTGTTCCAGCTTAGCGCATAAGTTCTCTGAGTGTGGTTCCCAGAGCAGCAGCACGTGTACCTTTCAGGCCGCATCCACTGCTGGGAACAGGTCCAACAGTCTGTGTTTCAACAAACCCGCCAGGTGATTCTGAACCACAGGCAGAGAGTATATGGAGACTGGTAAAATAGAAAAGTCATCTCCAAATATTTGACATTGTGCCTATATTGATAAAACATCTAGGGTTATGCATATCTATGTATGCATATTTCTTTATAAGGTAATATGCACTGTGTATTAATCTTGTGTAAATTATATAAGACACATGACAATAGATATAAAAACATAAAATAAGTAGGAATACAAGCTCTTTGAAAGTTGAAAGGCAAGTCAGGGTCCTGCTTGGGGCCTCATCTGGGGGCTGTGGGGACAGGTGCTGAGTGTTTTGGTGGAGAGTGGAGCAGGGAGGCCACCGAAGTGGCCATTCAAGATTTTCCTGGAGAAAACTGTCTC